CAAAGATAACCGCAACAATAACTTAGCTTTCACCGGTGAAAGGCTTCGGTACATGAAGGATGCCGTCTGTGACCGGGGGTGCAGCATTCGTCCAGCTTTGGGCAGTGTATGAAGCTGCCACATAGTCAAGGTTCTCAAAAAGTTGGAGTATCTAGGGACCCTGGCACTAAATTTCTTTTTCTCGCAGCGATTGCAACCGAAAAATGATTATCGACACATTTTGAGCCTACGATTTGATTTTTTTTGTGTGAAGATGTAACATAACTAGACATGAAATATTAATGATAATAATAATAATAATATATTAATAATAATAATAATAATAATAATAATAATAATAATAATAATAATAATAATAATAATAATAATAATAATAATAATAATAATAATATGAAGCCTTGGTTTGGAATACATTTATTTGGCCCGAGGAACCGGCAGCCGACCGCTATGATGAACGAGTTAAGATGATGATAATGTACCGATGAAGAGGATTGCTATACTAAATGCCCACACTAATTCCCCCCCCCCCCGTCAAAGCGGCCAGCCTGGCCGTGGCAAGTCAAGGGGACAAAGAACGTCGCATGAAGGGCTTCATACGGGAGACATGAATGACCTCGGTAGTTCGACATTGGCGATCTGCTGGAGCTACAAGTGGCGTCACGTGGTAATTCAGTGGTGAAGTCTTTCAAGGACTGTGTACGGCCCGATAAACCGTGGCTGAAATTCATCGCACAAACCAAGTGTGCGAAGAAGCGTCAAAAGGAGCACTTCGTATTCAGGTTGAAAGGATACAGCACAATGCGATTCATCATAAACTAGCTTTCTCTCTTGCTGTCGGGCTTCAGTATTTATACGAACGCGTTGGTGGCACTGTGCGAGTCGTAAAACGTATTCCTCTGAAGAGAATGGAGATGAATGCGCGTGGCAGGTAAAAAAAGAGACGTCCAAAAAAGAAGTAGAGGAGAGTCCATAAACTAGATAAAATGGTGAGTAGCCGGTTGTCCGCTGAATGCCCGTATTGTAGGCGAAAGGGACGAATCGTAGAACTACATCTGTCACAGAACGAGCGCTAAAAATGGGCGCGCCGCCAAATTCTTGCGATAACGGGCGGGAGAAACGCCGCGAGGTCAAAAGAAAACAAACATCTAAAGGCTCCCTGGGGCGCGCGCTCTCCCCTCGGAAGCGTGGCTTCGCCGACGAACCTCCTCGCCCCACATCGGCGGCCGAATAGCCGGCGAAAGTTCCAGAACGAAAGGGGCGTGGTCATACCGAGTTGAGTCATCGGCCGCGGAGGGCGTGCCAACCGTCTTGCCCTCTTCCCAGCCTTCACTGCGTATCGCGCCGACGAAATGACGATAACCGTCTGGAATGTCACGCGCAAGGTATTTAACCGAGCAGCCGAGTTGAGAGATCAGGAGAACACGGAAGTTGCGCCAGAGTGCGAAGGGATCCCGCCGTGTAGTCGGCGAAGGTTTGTCCGTAGGGACGAAGCAGGAGATGAAGAGGATTTTCACCTGAGGGGTGAAGGCTCGAGCTACAGGCAAGAGTGTGTGCCTACCGCTATCGAGCGAGGACGCGTGGCAACAGCTGCGTGTGTGAAGCCGACGTGTTCGGGCGAAGGAGTTTGAAGCTTGGAGAGTGGCCTATTGAAGACGGGAGGTTTCCTGGAAGAGAAACTTCGAGGGCTGCGGAACGACAACAACCCTGGACTTTGAGTGAGTGATTCTCGGAAGAGTATCATCTAGACTTTGGTTCCAAGAACTTTGGACTGAATAGCTTTTCTATCTCTTTAGTCTTTAAGTGTCTTGGTTGTTCAATGCATGCGACTGCATTGTAGCGCGCATTGTTGTCTGTGTCCGTTGTTCCAATTGTGATTGATTGTACTGTGTAGTACGTTGTTTGTTTGGTGACGTATTGTATGTAACTATTGTGGAGTGTGCATTCTTGTGTATTGTTTTCGATCTGCCATTTTTGAGAATATAATATTTGTTTTGTTTATCAACTCTCGGCTCTGACTTGTTCTTTGGGCCACAGCCGGCGTCCGCTGGCGCGCCGAAAAGGACCACTTCTAAATTGTCCGCGCTTTCGTGGTGTGGTTCGGGGGGCCAATACTTCTGCCCTTGAAATTAGCCCGGCGATCGCCTCCCTAATTAACGGGACCGGTGTGACAATTAATCTGGCGTCCGCGACAGGACCTTTTGGTGCACAGTGTGTCCAAAGTAGTGAGAAAGAGCCTCGAGTTGGTGATACTGCTATCGGAACGATTTTGTGTGTTGCTCAGTGTTTTCGTTAACGAGTGCAGGGGAGTGTTCCGATAGACTGATTTAGGCAGATACTTTTTGCACGCGGCAAGGTTTTATTTGCCAGTTGCGAGACAAAATGGATCTCGAAAAGTTAGTCGCTCTTGGTGAGAAGATGGGTCTTTCTGGCGCCGAACTACGGAAGTGGGTCACCAAGAAGGAAAAAAGAAGAAAAAGAGAGGGCCAAAGAAGAAAAGGCAGCTGAGCTGGAAAAAGAGAGGCTGGCGGTCGAAAGAGCCAAAGCGGAAAAAGAGGCTGAGTTGGAACGAGAGAGGTTGGCAGCTGAGAGAGCCAAAGAAGAAAAAGCAGCTGAGTTGGAGAGAGAAAGGCTGGCCGCTGAAATGGCGAGAGAAGAAAGAGAAGCAAAGGAGCGACAGCTGAAAGAAAAAAGAGAGGCAAAGGAGCGACAGCTGAAAGAAGAAAGAGAGCAGCAATTGAAGTTGGAGTAGGAGAGAGAAAGACTGGCAGCTGAGAGGGCGAAAGAAGAAAGAGAGGAAAGGGAACGGCAGCGACAGCACGAGATAGAACTCGAGCGACTCCGTTTGCAACAGCGAAGTGAAACTCCCGTTCAACCTAGAGTTGAAAGCAGTGAACGGGAAGATCATAGCTTCCGCTTGAACCCATGCAAGCTGCTCGTGGCGTTTGATGAAAGGAAGGACGACCTTGACGCGTACCTTCACCGATTTGAGACGATTGCGAAGAGCCAGAATTTGCCGGAACATCAATGGGCAACTGCTTTGAGCACTTGCTTGAGTGGTGAAGCGCTCAGTGTGTACGGTAGGCTGACGCCGACCGATGCAGCCAACTATGCAAAGGTGAAAGCTGCTTTGCTGAAGCGATTTAGATTTACTGTGGAAGGTTTCCGGGACAGATTTCGGACAGGAAAGCCAGCTGATGGTGAGACGGCTACACAGTACGCCGCCCGACTTAGCCATTATTTCGACAGATGGATTGAACTTTCAGGGACAGCGCAGGAGTACGATGAACTTAGAGAGCTCCTAATTAGAGAACAATTTCTTACTAGTTGCCACCCAAGCCTGTCGCTGTACTTGAAAGAGAGGAGAGCTAAGTCACTTGAAGACATGCTTGAATTAGCTGATCAATTCTTGGAAGCGCAAGGTGGCACTAATTTGGCCAGAGTCAAGAAGGATTGTCCTGATGATTCGAAGAAACTGACTCCCGAAGAAAAGAAGCGTGCACCAGAGAGCATTCCGCGATGTTTTCTGTGCAACCGAGTGGGTCACCGTGCTAACCACTGCCGAACTAACTTCACAAGCCCCACGGTTGTAAAATGTTTCAAATGTGGTCAGACTGGGCACAAGGCAGACGCATGTCGTAACGGAGCGAGTCAAACTCACCAGGTATCCTGTGCACAAGTGGCACCAAAAACCGTTGATGACGTCACCGATGGATTCGTAGAGTTGAAAAATGGGGAGAAAATTCCTATCGTGGGTGCGGTATTGACAAAACAACAAACAGGTGCTACGAAGGGAATGCCTGTGATGGCTGGAAAAGTGGCGGGAAGGCGTGTAGACGTCTTAAGAGACACTGGGTGCTCCCCTGTAATAGTACGAAGAGACCTAGTCCGCGACGACGAACTCACGGGCCAGACCAGCCTGATTTACACCGTCGACCGTTCGGTTATGAGGCTACCTGAGGCCAAGGTCAAGATCGAGACGCCCTTCTACATTGGAATTGTTTCTGCCTTCTGCATGGATGATCCATTGTATGACGTAATCGTGGGGAACATCGAGGGCGCCCGTTCGCCGGACCAACCCGAACCACTGGAAGAGGACCCAGAAATCGATCCACCATCGATTGCAAACCCTCACGACCAACCAGCCACGGGCGGTGAGGACGTAGTCGCAGTTGCGACCCGAGCACAGACCAAAGCCCAGTCGAAGCCATTCCAGCCCCTCCCTGCACCCGATTCCGAGGAGGACCCGAGCTTCAACTATGCCGAGGAACAAATACAGGACGAGTCGTTAAAACCCTGCTTTGCGCAAATCGACAAGGACCTCAGATGCCGTAATAGTAAATGCGCGATAATGTTCAAGCAGGAAGATGGACTGCTCTACAGGTACTATACGGAGAGGAGTGGTCGGCGGATACGACAGCTGTTGGTGCCGAAGAACCGCCGAGAGGCTGTTATGAAGCTAGCCCACGATGGGATAATGGCCGGGCACCTGGGAGCCGAGAAAACCAAAGACAGAATTCAGGAAGAATTCTTCTGGCCCGGTGTCACAGCCGACGTGAAACGGTTCGTGGCGTCTTGCGATATCTGCCAGCGAACTGTGCCAAAAGGAAGGGTGCCACGCGTGTCACTCGGCCAGTTCCCCGTCATAGACATCCCCTTTAAAAGGGTAGCTGTTGATATAGTAGGCCCTATCCGACCTCTATCTGGTCAAGAAAACCGCTATATCCTGACTCTCGTCGATTGCGCCACGCACTATCCGGAGGCAGTTGCACTACCTGGCATAGAGACCGAACGAGTCGCAGAAGCCCTCGTTGAGATGTTCTCCCGTTTTGGTGTACCGAGGGAAATTTTAAGTGATAGGGGCTCGAATTTCACGTCGGAGTTAATGAAGGAAGTGGCACGACTTCTATCAGTGCGCCAACTCCATACCACCCCTTACCACCCGATGGCCAACGGGATGGTGGAAAAACTTTAATGGCACCCTGAAGACTATGCTCAAAAGAATGTGTGCGGAGAAACCGAAAAACTGGGACAGATTCCTCGGTCCGTTCCTGTTCGCGTACAGAGAAGTTCCCCAGGCAAGTCTCGGCTTTTCACCGTTCGAGCTACTGTACGGCCGACATGTCCGGGGACCCCTGGCGATCTTAAAAGAAGTCTGGACGAACCAAGAGCTGGACGATGAGCTGAAGACAACCTACCAGTACGTATTGGATCTCCGAAATCGTCTAGAAGAGACGTGCCGCCTAGCTCACGAAGAACTCCGAAGGGCGGGAGCACGCTACGCTAAGCACTACAATCGAAAATCAAGAGATAGAGTATTCCAACCAGGAGATAAGGCTCTCATCCTGCTCCCTACTGACAAAAATAAACTGTTGCTGCATTGGAAGGGGCCCTTAGAAGTGCAGGCGACAATTGGGGACTTCGATTACTCCATAAAGACGCCGAGCGGGCCGAAAATTTTCCATGCCAATTTGCTGAAGAAGTATGCGGAGCGGGAAACGAACCAAGATGCGCCGCATCAATGCCAAGTCATCGTAGGGGTTATTGACAATGGAGATGAACAGGAACTACCGGTGCCGGAATTCGTGCAGACAGAAGGAATTACTGATGTCAAGATCTGCCCAAGTTTGACGGACCAACAAAAAGAGGAGTTGGAGAAAACCCTGACAGCGCACTCTGAAATATTTTCGAATGTCCCGGGCAAGACAGATTGGGTGGAGTGTCACCTCGAGACAGTGACGGAGTCCCCAGTCCACGTCAAACCGTACCCGTTACCTTTTGCTACGACTAAAGACATCGAGACCGAGGTACAGCAAATGAAAACACTGGGCATAATTGAAGTCTCAAAATCGCCCTATAATTCCCCCGTGTTGCTTGTGGACAAACCGGACAAAACCAAGCGGTTTGTAGGCAATTTCCGGCGCCTAAACAACCTCATAATAGCAGATGCCGAGCCCATGCCTAGAGCAGATGCCGTTTTTGCCAGTGCCACAAACAAAAAATACTTCGCTAAGTTAGATTTTGCTAAGGGCTACTGGCAAATCCCACTCTCCCAGCAGTCGAAACCTAAGACTGCGTTTTCGACAAAATCCGGCCTCTACCAGTTCTGCTACATGCCTTTCGGGATCAAAACGGCACCCGCCGTATTCGCCCGGCTGATGCGACTAGTCACTGAGGGAATCCCGGGCATTGAACATTACTATGACGACGTACTCATAACAAGCACGACCTGGGAGGAACACCTATCCACTCTCAAACAACTCTTCGCTCGAATTCAGGCTGCCGGGTTGACCGTGAGACCGAGCAAGTGTGAGTTGGGAGTGAATGAGATTGATTTCCTTGGTCATCACATTCGACAAAACATGCTTGCTCCACTGGGAAAGACTCTCGACAAAATCCAAGCTGCAACAGCCCCAAAGACGAAGCGACAGGTACGCGCTTTTCTCGGGTTGACCAGCTATTATCGGGAGTTCATTCCAAATTATGCCGAGATCAGCGCCCCTCTCACAGAACTGATCAAGAAGGGTGAAAGCAACTTAGTAAAATGGACGACGACACACGAGAAAGCATTCGCGAAACTCAAGGAATGCATCTCGAGCCCTCCCGTGCTCCGCCTTCCAGACTTAACCAAGGAATTCATCCTCCGCACCGACGCTTCCGACACCAGCCTCGGGGCTGTGCTCTTGCAGTCACACGAAGGGACCCTGCATCCTATAGCATACGCCAGTCGCAAACTACTTCCCCGGGAATCATCCTACAGCACCATCGAAAGAGAATGTCTAGCCCTGGTGTGGGGGATACAGAAGTTTAATATTTATCTCTACGGAGTGCCTTTCTTGGTCCAAACTGACCACCAGCCTCTCCAATACATAAAACAGGCTAAACAGCTCAACAGCAGAGTGTTGAGGTGGAGCTTGCTTCTGCAAGAGTATCAGTTCCGAGTCGAGCACATCAAGGGAAGCGAGAACGTTGGTGCCGACTACCTTAGCCGAGTTTGAATGTTTTGGAAGTGTCTGACAGCAGTGAACGCAGTAGGCTGTGTTGTTATTGTGTTATCCGGTGTTGAGCAAATCAAAATGTTTCTTAAGGTGATGTGATGTATAGTGTTGTATAATTGTTGTAAAGACAGAACCTTGTACGTTTGTATTGTTTGGAATGTGTGATGAAGAGTTGTACTCATGTAGCTGCGGTTATATTTCATGTGTGTGAGATTGAATGTAATGTCCAATCGTATTGAGTGATATATTGTGAATGTGAAGTGTCATGAGCGATGGATTGTGTTACAGTCTGTGAAAGTGTGTGGTGACTTTTCGCGCTCGTTTGTGTGGTTTTGAATATTATGAGATAATATTCTTAAAGTGGGGAGCAGTGTCACAGAACGAGCGCTAAAAATGGGCGCGCCGCCAAATTCTTGCGATAACGGGCGGGAGAAACGCCGCGAGGTCAAAAGAAAAAAAAAGAAAACAAACATCTAAAGGCTCCCCGGGGCGCGCGCTCTCCCCTCGGAAGCGTGGCTTCGCCGACAAACCTCCTCGCCCCACATCGGCGGCCGAGATAGCCCGCGAAAGTTCCAGAACGAAAAGGGCGTGGTCATACCGAGTTATGTCATCGGCCGCGGAGGGCGTGCCAACCGTCTTGCCCTCTTCCCAGCCTTCGCTGCGTATCGCGCCGACGAAATGACGAGAACCGTCTGGAATGTCGCGCGCAAGGTATTTAACCGAGCAGCCGAGTTGAGAGATCAGGAGAAGACGGAAGTTGCGCCAGGGTGCGAAGGGATCCCGCCGTGTAGTCGGCGAAGGTTTGTCCGTAGGGACGAAGCAGGAGATGAAGAGGATTTTCACCTGAGGGGTGTAGGCTCGAGCTACAGGCAAGAGCGTGTGTCTACCGCTATCGAGCGAGGACGCGTGGCAACAGCTGCGTGTGTGAAGCCGACGTGTTCGGGCGAAGAAGTTTGAAGCTTGGAGAGTGGCCTATTGAAGACGGGAGGTTTCCTGGAAGAGAAACTTCGAGGGCTGCGGAACGACAACAACCCTGGACTTTGAGTGAGTGATTCTCGGAAGAGTATCATCTAGACTTTGGTTCCAAGAACTTTGGACTGAATAGGTGTTCTATCTCTTTAGTCTTTAAGTGTCTTGGTTGTTCAATGCATGCGACTGCATTGTAGCGCGCATTGTTGTCTGTGTCCGTTGTTCCAATTGTGGTTGATTGTACTGTGTAGTACGTTGTTTGTTTGGTGACGTATTGTATGTAACTATTGTGGAGTGTGCATTCTTGTGTATTGTTTTCGATCTGCCATTTTTGAGAATATAATATTTGTTTTGCTTATCAACTCTCAGCTCTGACTTGTTCTTTGGGCCACAGCCGGCGTCCGCTGGCGCGCCGAAAAGGACCACTTCTAAATTGTCCGCGCTTTCGTGGTGCGGTTCGGGGGGCCAATACTTCGGCCCTTGGAATTAGCCCGGCGATCGCCTCCCTAATTAACGGGACCGGTGTGACAACATCCCAGTTCTTGTGATCTGGTTGATTATAGGCGGCGATCATGTCAGCAAGAGTGCGGTGGAATCGCTCAGTGAGCCCGTTAGTCTGAGGATGATAACTACAGGCAGTCTTGTGAGTTGTGCCGGAGGCGTGAAGAAGTTCGTTCACTAGTTGTGAAAGGAAGGCCCTTCCGTGGTCACTGAGCAATACACGTTGAGCACCATGACACAGTATAATGGCTCGGAGGAAGAAATCGGAAATTTCAGAAGCTGAACCAGTAGTAACGGATGCCGTCTCGGCGTAGCACGTCAAATGGTCAACGGCTGTTACTATCCACCGGTTTTCAGCAGCACTGACTGGGAGGGGGCCATAAAGATTGACGCCTACAACTTCGAATGGTGTGGCTTGACACGGAAGAGGCTGTAGTGTACCGGTTGGAGCAGGTATGGGTAGTTTTCTACATTTGCAGGTAGTGCAGGACCCGACGTACCGAGCAACACTAGTGGTACTGCCTGGCCAATAAAACCGACTTCGAAGGTGATCGTAGGTTTTATGGAAACCAAGGTGGCCAGTAGTCGGATGGTCATGAAGCGCTCTGAATACTTCGGACCGAAGCGATCGGGGTAGAACGGGAACCCAGCGCTGACCGTCAGGATGGTAAATTTCGCGGTATAGCACCGAGTTGTCCAGCTTAAATTGCGAGAGTTGGCGACGGAGCCTCGCATTAGGTGGACGGGAACTGCCAGGGAGGTAGCCCTATGATACGTCGACAGTATGGGTCAGCCAGCTGTCGCGAAGGAAAATCGTGGGAATCGTTCAAAGGCAGCTGGTCTATAGAGGTGAGGGAGAAAACCACCGTAGACGTGGATTCCGAAGGTGTGTTGTGCAAAAGTGAGTGCGGAAACGCTGAGTGGAGCCGCTGGTAGTAGGCAGCGAGAAAGAGCATCGGCGTCACTATTCTTTGTTCCACGCTTGTATACGATGTCAAAATTATACCCTTGTAGGCGTAGAATCCAGCGGCCGAGGCATCCCGACAAGTTCTTGAGTGTCGAAAGCCAACATAAAGTGTGGTGGTCAGTCACAATGGTGAAATGGCAGCCGTGCAGATAAGGACGAAATTTCTGCACTGACCAAACGGTGGCGAGGCACTCCTGCTCGGTGATTGTGTAGTTCCTCTCGGCTGCGGAGAGGACGCAGCTGGCGTAAGCAAGGACTCGCTCTCGCGAAGAGTTGTCCCGTTGCAGGAGCACGGCTCCTAAACCGCGGCCGCTAGCATCTGTATGAAGGAAGGTCACTGCATCATTGTGAAAATGAGAAAGTACAACGTCAGTCGTGAGGGCACTCTTCAACCTGTCGAAAGCCGATTCACATTCCCGAGACCACTGAAAGGGCGTACTGGAAGCAAGTAGCTTATGGAGTGGTGCGGCTATGGAGGCAAAGTTTTGTATGTATCACAGAAAGTAAGAGGCGAAACCAAGAAAACTTCGCAAATCTTTCGGCTTGCCAGGGCGAGGGAAGTGAAACACCACAGCAGTTTCCTCAGTGTCTGGACGAATTCCGTTCTTGCTCACAACATGACCGAAGACCTTGATATATCTGCTGGCAAAATGAGACTTCTTGGTGTTAATTTTATGACGAGCGCCCGCAAGGCAGGTCAGGACCTCGTCCAAGCGTTGCAGATGTTGAGGAAACGTCGATGAAAAGACAACAATGTCATCGAGGTAACATAGGCAAGTCTTCCATTTCAGACCACGCAGCACGGTGTCAATCATGCGCTCAAAAGTTGTGGGCGCATTGGATAGACCAAACTGCATAACATTGAATTCGTATAGTCCATACGTGGTTGCAAACGCAGTTTTTTTCTTTATCATCTTCGTGCATGGGGATTTTTCGATAGCCGGAACGCAAGCCGAGCCTTGAAAAGAATTCAGCACATTGTAAGGAATTGAGGGCGTCGTCAATGCGTGGCATGGGGCATACGTCTTTCCTAGTGATCTTATTGAGTGCTCGGTAATCGACGCAAAATCGTGCGGAACCGTCTGTTTTACGCACCAGAACGACGGGAGACGACCAAGGACTGGTTGAGGGTCAGATTATCTCCCGTTGCAGCACATTGTCTACGTTTTGCTCAATGATTTTTCATTCGGCTAGAGAGACGCAGTACGGACGGTGGCGCACAATGGATGTTCCGTCGGTCTGAATACGATGTGCTGTAGCATATGTCTGGCCCAGGTTGGATGAATGCCACAATAATAATAATAATAATAATAATAATAATAATAATAATAATAATAATAATAATAATAATAATAATAATAATAATAATAATAATAATAATAATAATAATAATAATAATAATAATAATAATAATAATAATAATAATAATAATAATAATATTAATAATAATAATTATAATAACGATAATATTATTTATAATAATAATAATAATAATGCAAGGTGGTTTAATAGCGACGCCAGGTAATAGGCAGACAGCCGGTACGGCAACAAATGCTCGGGCAGTCCAGCGTCTACAGCTCGTGCACCCACTCGCGCTTCGCACTCAACGATGGTCCCACTAGTCATTGCTTTGCGAATACTTCACTACGATGCCCCGGCGACAAAGCGAGCCATCCTGGCGACTCAAAGTCACGAGAGAACAGGACGGTCGAAACAGGGCTTGAGGCGACTGACGTGGACCATCTCACGACCAAGGCGGCGCTTGACCGTGGACGGCTTGAGCGGTTCAATCACATAGGTGACAGAAGAAGGGTGCTGTATGACGCGGTAAGGGCCCGTATACTTCTGTGCAAACTTGGAGTCAGTCCAGGAGAGTGGAAAGGCAGTCGGAGCCACACGAGAGAACCGACGGGGAAGGTATTCTGAACAAGATCATGGTCATGGTGATCTTTTTGGAGGGCTTGGTTATCGGCTGTGAAGGGGTGTGCAAGCTGATGACACTCTTCGGCATGTTCGGCCATTTCACAAACTGTACTGAACTCGGAGGCATCAGGATTGTATGGCAGAATTGTGTCGAGTGTGTTGCATGGGTCACGACCATATAAAAGAAAAAATGGAGAAAAACCTGTTGTTGATTGAATCGCCGTATTGTAGGCGTACGTCACGAAAGGAAGAACAACGTCCCAAATGGAGTGGTCGGAATCAATATACATAGCGAGCATGTCTCCGAGGGTTCTGTTGAAACGTTCCGTTAGGCCGTTCGTCTGAGGGTGGTAGGCTGTTGATGTGCGGTGTACCGTACGGCATAAATGTAGGAGCTGCTGCGGAACTTCGGACAAAATACGCGTCCTCT